CGAGCTGCCCTTCGACGGTGCGCGGGGCCGGGGTGGCGGGCTTTTCTGCAGGGCCGCGGAGGGCGGGAAGGGGCCCCTCGGCCTCGCCGTGGCCCCGGAGGGAGGGAGGGCGAGCGCGGGAACGGAAAGCGGGTGTCTGTGTGCGTGTGTGTGGGAATGCGTGCGCGCGTGTCGATGGTAGGGAAGGTGAGTAGGTTGGAGGTGGGGGGAGGAAAAGGTGGTTATTCGTGAGGGAGAGGGGTGCGTGTATGTACAGTACGGCATGTATATACATGTGTGTGTGTGTATATATCTATATATATGTATACATATATACACACGTGTGTGAGAGAGTACGTGTATATATGTGTGTGTGAGAGAGAGAGAGAGAGAGAGAGAATGTGAATGTTTATTGTTGTACCCTGCCCAGAGTCACCTTGTGTGAGATGGGCGGTTATATAAATATGATAAATAAATAAAATAAAATGTATATATACCTGTGTGTGTGTGTGTGTACGTACGTACGTACATACATACTAATCTAGGGTCTCTTTTATATAGTTTATTATATATGCCACTAGGGATTGTAAGCGGGGGTGTCTAAGATGGTTATTTTAGAGAGAGGTGTATGTGTGTGTGTAGATTATTGTATATGCATCTGGGGATTGTAAGTAGGGGTGTGTAAGATGGCTTTTTTAGTGATATAGGTATGTATCTGTATAAATATACATGTATATAACGTTCTAGATAATATTATATATACCATTGTGGATTGGAAGCAGGGGGTGTATAAAAAGATGGTTATTTTAGAGAGAGAGCGAGAGAGAGTGTGTGTGTTTGATACATATATGTATACATAAGAGACCCTAGATTGTTATGTATGCACTGGGGATTGTAAAGTGGGTTGCATAAAGAGATTTTTTTTAGTGATATATGTGTATGCATAAATATACACATACATGTATATAAAAGCCTAGATTATTATATATACAGTTGTGGATTGTAAGTGGATGGGTATATAAAAATACGTTTATTTGAGAGAAAGATGTGTATGTTTAAACATATAAGTATATAAAATTCTAGATTATTATAGATGTAGTTCTGGATTATAAATGGGTTAGATATCATACTTGTACATTATCACAGCTGGGTCTTAACTGGATAATACAGGTATGAATTGTAGTTCATAGGTCAAGTTGATATATAGTTATGCATCTATAACTTGTGCGTGCATATAAACAATTGTGTGTATGTGTGTCAATATACACCCACACGTGTACACCCATAGAAAATTATTTATTTTGCAATTTTTGTAGCCCTCCCAAATAATAATAATAATAATTAATTGCCCAGAATCTTTTATTATTGCAATATTAATTATTATTATTATTGCAATAATAAAAGATTCTGGGCAAGTTACAACAAAGTGACATGATAAAAGCAATACTAGTAATGCCTCAAATGACAAAAAGCAACTAATAATAAGTCAATGTATTAATAAGTAACTAATTACTTATTGATTAACAATAAGTAATCAAATAATAAACAAAAATATAGATATGCAAAAAAAAATAGACCCACAAGATAATAATTACATTTCTGGGTATTGTTTAGTGTTTTGTGAGTTGCATTAGGTGACACAAGGACACCCCCTCCCCTGTTCTTTAGTGTGTTTTGTTCAATGGATTAGACAAAGG